CTTGGGCATGCACACACACACACGCCCGACGCGAATTTAAGCCACCAGGTCCGGGCCTAGAACTGAAATTGACTACGTGCAAGTCCAACAATGTAACCATGAAGCCATCTGCTGGTCCTGTAACATTTTATTTACTTATTTATTTTGGTTAGACCAGAGAGGGACAGAGTGCAAGAGAGAGAGAGAGAGAGAGGCAGAGACAGAGACAAGGAGAGGGACAGAGTGCAAGAGAGAGAGAGAGGCAGAGACAGAGACAAAGAGAAAATGAAAAAAGCAAGCTGCCAGGTTTGGGACTCAAACTATGGTTGGCCATGTGAGAGTCTAGTGCCCTTAACCACCACGCCATCTGTCAGCCTCTGCATCCCTTTATCCAGTGCAGAAAGTCCTCTGTTCATCGGTGTGGTCATCTAAGGAAGTTCTTCATCAAGAGGGACTTGAAGGACCAGCAGTGAGCGAGATGCCTATGTCACTGGACTCCCATGTAGTCGACCGCGGTTCAAGTCCCGGACCCGGTGGCTTAAACTCACGCCGGGCGCGTGTGCGTGCGTGCCCAAGATCCCGAGAGGAGAATGGAGGAGAAGGGATTGCGGCGTGGCCATCCCCCCTGGGGGGTGATTTCTCGCTTTCTGTCTCTCTGTCTCTGTCTTTCTGGTGAGCACACACGCCTTATAGCAAAAACCTCTCCCCCCTCCAAAAAAAAAACTATGTATACACACATACCCATATATATGTGTATATATATTTATATCTGAGAGGCCTGAGCAAAGGGGTTTAGAGTCTCCTTGGGAGGGCACGCAAAGCTCCATGTTGGAAGGATGATTATTTATTTATTTATTTATTTATTTTTAGATTTTTGCTATAGGTCATGCGCAAAACGTCAGAGAGACAGAGAGAAAGCAAGAAATCATCCCCGAGGGGCATGGCCACGCCGCAGTCACTTCTCCTCCATTCTCTTGTGTTTTTGGGCACGCACACACACGTGCCCCACGTGAGTTTCAAGCTGCCGGGTTCAGGACTCAAACCATGTTGACCACATGGGAGTCCAGAGCCTTAACCACTGTGTCACCTGTTGGCCCCGGAGGGATGTTTGATGTGGGTTGTTGGTGCATCTGTCTGCCCCTAGGTGGTGCTTGACTGCCCCACGGACACCTGCTTTGTCTACATCTACCAGTACGAGCCATATCTGCGGGACCCCGTGGCCTATCCCAAGGTGCAGGTGAGAGGGCAAGGTGGGAGGAGGAGGGCATGATCCTGCCATAGGTGGGGGTCCACTGAGCCACTCTGAAGCAGGTGCCAGAAATGCAAGGCAAACTGAGAAGTGCCTATGGAATTTATTGTCCTACTAAAAAAAAAAAAAGAGAGAGAGAGGTGGTCTTCAGGTATGGCTGGATCCAGGCGTTCAAGGATAACTTTGTCGGGAACCAGCAGTTAGCATCATGGCTATGTCGCTGGACTCCCATGTAGTCGACCGCGGTTCGTGTCCCGGACCCGGTGGCTTAAACTCACGCCGGTGCGTGCATGCCCAAGATCCCGAGAGGAGAATGGAGTAGAAGGGATTGCGGCGTGACCATCCCCCCTGGGGGGTGATTTCTTTCTGTCTCTCTGTCTCTCTCTGTCTGTCTGGCGAGCACATGCACCCTATAGCAAAAAGAAAAAAAAGAATAACTTTGTCTCCGTCTGTTTTCTTTCCATGGCTCCACTCCTAGGCCATCTCTCCGTAGGGTGGCAGAGACAGCCTCAGGCAGCTTTAGGCTTCCATCCACCCCGCTTGGCCTCCCCAGAGGCATGGGAACCCTTATTACCCCAGAACTTTTTTTCTTTTTATTTTTGGAGAGGTTTTTGCTATAGGGCGCGTGCGCTCGCCAGAAAGACAGAGAGAGACAGAGAAACAGAAAGCGAGAAATGACCCGCCAGGGAAGATGGCCACGCCGCAATCCCTTCTCCTCCATTCTCCTCTCGGGATCTTGGGCACGCACGCACATGCACCCGGCATGAGTTTAAGCCACTGGGTCCGGGACTCGAACCATGGTCAGCTACATGGGAGTCCAGCGACATAGCCATTACGCTAACTGCTGGTTCCAATGACCCCAGAACTTAAGCACCAGTCTGAGGCAGGCTCTTATTGGCCCAGCCTGAATCCCAGGCTCACTCTCTTCCTATCACTGTGGCGAGGAAGCTGGGCTGTTTCAAGAAACCAGGCTAGAATGACATGCCACTTGGACAAGGGTGGGTGGGTTGAGTGTGTGGGGGTGGGAAGGGGGGGATAGGAATCCCCAACAGAAATAGAGGAATTGTTTGCGCACAGCAGTAGGGTATGCACAGAGACCTCCCCTGGGTGGGCTCTGAGGCTGGTCAGACCCTCCCTTAGTTCCACCTCCTTGGGTGGTGGTCTTAGTTCATATTTTAATTAATTAATGTATTTTTGTTTTGTTTTGTTTTACTATAGGATGCATGTGTTCATGAGAGACAGAGAGACAAAGGGGGGAGAAAGTTAGAAATCACCCCCTGGGGTGATAGCCATGCCACTATCCCTTCTCCCCCATTCTCCTATTAAGATGTTGCGGTGGGACCAGCAGTTAGCATCATAGCTATGTCGCTGGACTCCCACGTAGTCGACCGCAGTTCAAGTCCGAGACCTGGTGGCTTAAACTCACACCAGACGCATGTGTGTGTGCACGTGCCCAAGATCCCGAGAGGAGAATGGAGGAGAAGGGATAGCGGCGTGGCCACCCCCCCTGGGGGGTGATTTCTCGCTTTCTGTCTCTCTGTCTCTCTCTGTCTGTCTGGCGAGCGCATGCACCCTATAGCGAAAACCTCTCCAAAAAAAAGAAAAAAAGATGTTGGGATTTCTTTTCTTTTCCATTTTAAAAATTATTTATTTATTTTTATATATTATTATTATTAAGTTTGCTATTGGGGGGGCTTGCAGAAGGCTTGGTCTTTAAGGTGCTGGAATCCCACACGACCAACCATGGTTTGAGTCCTGGACCTGGTGGATTACCTTCTCACTCTCCCTCTCTCTGCCTCTCTCTGGCCAAATTAAAAAATAATGGGGCCGGCAGGTGGCATGGTGGTTAAGGGTGCTGAACTCCGACATGGCCAACCATGGTTCAAGTCCTGGACCTGGTGGTTTGCTTTCTCATTTCTCTCTCTCCTTTTCTCTCTCTCTCTTCTTCTCTGGTCAAATTAAAATAAAATGAATAAGTAAAGTTAAATAAAATAATTCTTAGAAAAAGAAAAATAATAACAAAGAAACAAAATTATATAAAATAACTCTTTTTTAAAAAAAAAAACATAAAATTGCTCTTAGGCACATGTACTCACCAGAGAGAGACAGAGAGAGTAAGAGGTGGAGAAAGCAAGCTGCCCATTCTGGGCTTGAACCTTGGTCAATCATGTGGGAGTCCAACACTTTAACCACCATGCCACCTGCTAGCCCCCTTAACCTGCTTTGCAAGCTTTTGGGTCTAGGACTCGCACCACACAGCCGGCCATGTGGGGTCCAGCCACCCAAACGACTACGCCACCTTGCTAGACCGTGGGTCTCAGCTGATCTTTTTCCGTTTGTTTTTGTTCTTGCCATGTGACGTGTGTGCTCACCAGAGTTTGAGGGAGAGAGAAATCACAGACACACACCCCCCAAGGGGATGGCCAGGCTGCAGTCCCTTCTCCATCCTCCTCTTGGGATTTTGGGCATATATCCACACGCGTCTGGCATCACTTTCAAGCCATCGAGTCCACAGCTCAAACCAGGGAGGTTGTCCACGTGAGAGTCTAGTGGAGGGGCTGTCCACGTGAGAGTCTAGCATGCCATGGGTTGGTCCCCATCTCAACTCATCTTCTTTCATTTTTTTTTTTTAAAGAAGTATTTTATTTAACTGTATTTATTTTTTATT